CAGTAAAAGATTAGTTCACAATGGAAGATTAGTTCGCAGAGAGTGATTCGTTCTTAGTGAAAGATTAGTTCACAGTGAATTCTTTTAGACGTGCGTGTACTTTTAAAATTCAGTTCATATTAAAGAGGTTTACGGAGAGTTCAATAATAAAACCTTCGGAACAGGGATTTCTTGTCGCCGACCACGGTACTGAACACGGTACTGAACACGCTATACACAATTTATTCCAATGTGGAATATTCCCTGGGAAGTCTTGAATGTGTGCTTCAACATTTATAAATATATTTATTTTTGGTGCAAATAATTTCCCCTTAATGTTACAATCTGATACCTAGTTGATGTGACTGTGACATCACATCTAATCACTTTACCTCAATTCAGTGGTTTGGTCATTCCCCAACAATAACAAGTCTTGACAAATTACATTTCTAACTTATTGAACCAACACCAAATACTGTTATATTTCATAATGACTCAAAATCAATAACATCAAATAATGCAAAGCTCAAAAAAGCGACTAAGCCATTTTTCCACCACATAGTTTCCAATACTTGATAAATTTATATTCTGTGCATTTCTAAATAAAACTCAGTGCATTCACATCAACAGACCATGAGGTTGCGTATGTCTTTATTTAAAGCTCAACATGTTGATAATTCCATAGCATTTCCACAACAAAGGTTTGGTATTTTCTGGTGTTTTGATACATTTTTCAAAAAATTTAAAAAACAAACAAACTGACATTTAGAGATTGAATCAAGAAAAAAAAAAACACAAATTAGTAAAAAAAACTTCTATAACTATTAGCCTCTACTTTAGCTTAACATTGTCTAAATTGTCACATCTTGCAGACATATTCAAAAGTAGGCCAGGAAACAGACAGAAGTTAGATAAATGAAAACATTTTGGAAAATCTGAAAAAAAGACTTCAAATTAAGCAAAAAAACAAAACAAAAAAACCCAACCCAAAACAAAAACAAACAAACAACAACAAAAAAACACTCCATCATTTAGCTTACAGGTGACTAACCCAGAGATTAATTAGCTAAGGTTAGCCAAATGTTTTTAGAACAAAAGCCAAAAATATAAAAGTAACCCATCATAAGAGGAGAAGAGCATGAATGAAACACCAGTTCTGTATCAAAAGCAAAAGTAGTGAAGCAGAACTAGTGCCTGCTTTGTGAGTCAAGGCCGGTTTTCACGTACATTTGTGACAGTGTAGAGAAAATAGAGTCAGGCTGTAAGGATGAATGGTCTCTAGAACTAATTAAAAATGGAGTAAAAATAAAGAGGAAAATGGACAGGCATGTCAGACACAGGACAGTCCCTTGCAGGAACAGTCCTTCAGCTGTCTGAAGACGATGAAGGAAATCTAGACAGTAACCTGTCCACCAGCTCAAGGTGTCTCTCATGGTTTTGTTTAATGATGTTGTCATGCATGGTCGTCAGCTGACATATTAGATTGTTCTGCATTTCCCTCTCATGCTCCATTAACAGCTGCAGTCGTGCGTCTTCCTGTGCCTGCATGGCTGCGTCCATTTCACCGAGCTGGGCGACCGACTCTGACACTAGAGCAGAAACTTGGTCCATGATGGTGATTTTTCTTTTCTTTGGTGAAACCCTGAAGGCTGAAAAAAAAAAACCCCACAAGGGTGTTATGTGTTATAATGGCTTTCGAACAATTAAGATTTTCAATATGATTAATCACAGGGAAGCTGTGGATTACACACAATTAATTATCTGTATTATTTATAATTGAAATTTACTATGGTTAAGCAAGATAAATTAGCATTCCTTATTATGAAAACATATATATTTTTATTTCTGTATATTGCTGGAGCAGAAAGACAAATAACAACAGGTAGGGGAATGTTTCACACCTGTTTTTATGTGTGACTAAAAATGACATCAAATAATTATTAGTAATTAGTAAGTTTTAGTGAGGAAAAACATTTGTTGACACTTGAAACATATAGGTTACTTCTTTGTGTGAAATATAAAATATAATTCACAGTACATAACACATTTAAATGTACAAAAAACAATGTTGGACTCTGTGTAGAAAAAGAGTTGTGCTGAAATACATGTTGTAGTCACAGTATCAGCAGCAACAGTTGAACTACAGTATGTTGACAACAGTAGCAGCCGACAGTCACCAGTCTGTGTTGTTCTTACTGCACTGGTGGTTGGACACTTTTGAACATTATTCTTCTAAAAAAGGTAACACGAATTAATTTATGCGTCAGCACCGTAATAACGCGTTAACTTTACGACTACAATAGGTAGCAGTATGCCTCCTGACTGGTTGCAGGTTTGCTAGTAAGAAGTGAAAAAAAAAAATGTTTTGTTTGTGTGTGTGTGTATGTATGTATGTGTATATATATAAATATACTACTTTTTTATTTAATTTTTTTACAATTTTAGATAAAGTTAATCGGCAGTCTGACTCGTAACAAGAATATTAGGCTATTCAGCTTATGCTAACAAAGCCTGAGCTAAAGGTTTACGCTTGGTAACAAGCAATAATATCTACTATTTAACTGCTTTGTATATTTGTTTAACACATTACTGTCGGAGTCGATGCTTTATCTAGCAGTTGTGGAGTAGTGGTGAGTATCACGGTTCCTTTTAGTGATCCGAAACATTTGGCTCCGTTCTCCGTGAAGAGCCGGCCCGTCGGCATCCAAACGGTTCAGCGCATTTACATACGCTTGGAACTCCCATACGACTCAGTGCAAACATAACTGTTAAACTACCAGCTGTAATCAGTTATTGACATTATTAAGTTATATGACATTGTAATATCTACTTTCGTGTACCTGGTGCACAAGGAGCAGACAGTGTAGTTGTGGCAGTAGGATCAGGATCGCCATCAATCGGAGCTAAGTCGGGGGCAGGAGTAGACTCGCTCAACCTCCTTTTTACCGCCAACGGAACATCTGGGTGCACAGCTCTCAGGTGTCTGTGAAGATTGTTTGTTCCTTGAAACCACAGCTTTATTTTACAGTGTCTGCATTCTGCCCTATTGTTGTTAAGGTTATCAAAGTGAAACCAAATTTGGCTTCTTTTTTTACTGTCAATCCCACTCATCTTTGTTTTCGAGCACTGTACCGCTTCTCTCTCTCTCTCTCTCTCTCAGGGATGTTTCGGTGAGATTGAGCCGTTTCAACGAGTCGGATCTTTGAAATAAACGATTGGATTCGGATCGGTTTCTTGTTCAGTCGCACGAGCTGTTATATGGTAATCACCGAACAACAGGCGGAGCATAGCAGAGTGACTGAATATCACATGCCTGGGTGCAACCAATCACGACAGGATTTACAAGGACCGTACCAGCCGACGAGGGGTGCGCGGTGCGTTTAGAGACTTTTACAGAAGCAGAGAAACGAGAGGAAGACGGAGGAATGACAGTAGAATATAAACAGAACTAGGCTGTATTTCAATATTAAAAAACAAACAAACAAACAAACAAACAAAAAACAGAATGCAGAATTGGACAGGTTAAACTGTAATATCAAGCAACCACTCGGAAGAAAAGCAGATCAGACACTTGGTTCTTCCCACTATCATGGCTTAACGGCACACTTAGTAGTGAGAAACATATTGCCACATGCTGTGGTATGAGCTATATTATCTGCAACTCAAACACAATGGCTCGTGTGTATTCACAGCGTAAAGAATAAAATGTATTTCATTTCCTGGTGTGGTTCACATTTGTTAACTAACATATAATAGGTGCACTATTAGTTAAAAGATTATACGATTACATTAAAAGCAAACAGCTGTTGTGCAAAAATCAAGTGCATGTACTGCATATACTTTTCTGATGGGGTTATTCTATCTGCTATTCTTGAGCTATGTCACTCAGAAAAACATGCGAGATAGCCATCACTCGTGATGTGCGGTTCGCGAGGAATTCGTTCATATTGAACTCACGAATCACTCTCTGCGAATGAATCACCCACTGGTTACTCCCGCACGTAATGAGTGAGTGATTCATTTTCAGCGTCCATCCGCAAGCCTGGTTCTTTTGTCACGTGACATCCGACATAAATTATTCATTCATGAAATCATGATTGGTGATTTTCAGTTGACGTACATCCCAACAACTTCTTTTTGGTCAAGGTAACATATAAACACGATAAATGTTATACATCTGGCCTCACTGGTTGTTATTGGTTTGAGATAAAACAAAGTGGAGCTATTGAGGAAACACACAAATGTACACATACAACAACACACAGGCGGAATAGAACAAGGAGCGACAAAGTAAAGCGACAAGATATCTCAACTGGTGTCAGGATATATTCTCTAAATTGTCTGAGAGTCGTTTCCACAGTGGAGTAGAGAGAATTTATAGTAATGTTGGAAGATGTCCACTTGGTGGCAGCATGGACTTAGGTATAAATAATTCAGTGAGGTGCAGTTACAGTACCATCCTTCTGCGATGTTCTCAAAGACGGTGCTGCATTTAACCCACTGTAAAACTTACCTCCAGTGTCTGTCCGTCCTTCGATTATATCACAAGCTGTGGTCCGAAATTAGTTCATCTAGGTTTAATTGATCCATGAAGAAATCTGAAAAATTTGTTTTTGTAGTGACGCGTTATATATGTTATTAGTAGATATTAGAAGACAAACCTATAGGCACTGGTGTTGAGGGTGTGTAACCGTTCTGGAGGACTATCACGGATCTCGTCGTCATCCTCCTCCACTGGTTCCAGATGACTGTCTACCTCGTCCCACAGAACAACCACGGCAAGGGAATCAGTAGTGTCGTATGGCTCCTTGCTCGCTCCATCGGGTTCGTCGCCATCGAGATGGAGATGCTCTGAACATTCAGTTGCAGTGCTCGTCAATTTGAGACCTGAGTGGATCTTCTGATGGTGCCACTTGATGCGCCGCCTCATCAGCGTCTTCAGATTACTTGAATATGTGGTCTGCACACTCTGAAATTGGTTCAGTATTCCCTATTAGAGATGCGCTGCGGCTGAGGCTCCAGTTACTTCCAATAACCTCTTATGTTTTCGCATGTCCCATTACGTCACATTTCCGAGACGAAAGACAGTGTTTGAAAGAGTTACATACAAACTGTTACAAAACAATCTTTTAGGCTGTACATGTAGTTCCTTGAAAAACACTCATCAACTATTTTAAGTAATTGTAATAGTATTCATAATAGTAACCCTTATAATACAAGTCTTGGTGAGTTCACAATAAAATAGTTGTGCCCGAAATATATGTATGTACAAATACAGTATATATAACTCAAACACACTCACAAAACATATCTAAAAATAAGAAAAATAAGAAGAAATTCAGTACATTAAAGAGTTGGATATTGTTGTGCATTATTCTTCACACTTCCTACCCAAACATGTTCGAATAGATCGTTTTATTTTTTATTTTTACAGAACCGGGTTCGACTATTGGCTGTAATTCTCTAATAGTTTCACCGAAATTTGTAAAAAATAGAAAATCAAGGTGTTATGTTGATTATTTGTGTTTTACTTTTAATTTTTATTAACTTGCTCACATAAGATGGTTCTGTGTAAATTATCCCGTCATACGTGCAGTTACTCTTTTGTCCAACAATTGTCGCTATTGTGCGGGACGGCCCACTGGTCCGACGCCAAAAAAAATCCCCGAGCAAACACCGATGCACACTTTTTTAGTTCCGTGCAGAGGAAAACATCGAGTGCGAGGAATATCGATCTGTGATCAACAGTGCGGCTGGAATACAGTATAAAATTCGGTATCCTGCGTGACCACCGAGCAGAGTAACCCATAGAACGGAGGACATGAACAGAGTGTAGATGTGCTGGTAGTCGTTTACGAAGCACCTGTTTGTGTGGTTGAGAGATGGAAACCATTGACGAATCTTCGCCCCTTCGGATCACCCCGACAGTCCGGGCTCTAAACTCCGCACTGCGGGGGAAGATCAGAAATACCCTCGACACGGGCCATAAAAACGAAGAACGGATTTCTCCCGAAACAGAGAAGCTTTGGTTTAAGGAGAGTTCAATAAAAAATCTTCGGAACAGGGATTTCTTGTCGCCGACCACGGTACTGAACACGCTATACGCAGATGGACAGGTTGGTTTGATCACAGTGATACCTGGCTGTCAGACCTATAGAGGAATTTGAAGTCATATTCAACAACGTTGGCCATTATGCCATGATGACTTGATAAACAAAACTGAGCTTGTTACCCTGCTAAACTACATTTATAAACAGGCAATAAGCATGATAATTATCTGAACAGTGTAGTCCGAACAGTGTAGTTCCTTCAAATTGTCTGTTGAGGTGTGTATTAATGAATCATAGTACAGTAAAATGAAATACTATTGTTACTTTTATTCAATTATATCTCGTGCTTTTTAAAAACTCATATAGACCTACATTTACTAATATAATTAATATAAACACATATATAATATAAACTAATACAAAAATAAGATCTACAGAAAGTGATTGGAGACTCAGATTTTTAATCTCCTCTTCCTACCCTGCAGGTGATGCTATGAACATGATCAAAACACAAACAAATTGTGTTATCAGCTTTAGAGGCTTACATTTGCCTGTGGGATATAAGAATTCCTTCTTGGAACCACATTTAAGATTTCTATAGTTTTAACTAATTGCTAATACTCCCACGTCACTCACTATAGTATTTTTTTTATACACTTGAAGTAAGTAAAATTTTAAAGTACATTCCCTACCTAAAATAATCACATAAAATGTTTTCAGTTTGATTATTGTCACCTACAGGGTCCCCTCTCCCATGAATATTTTTAACCAAAATCTGGGTTTAGAAAAAAAAAGGAAATGAGCATATCACCTAATAGAATTGTATTCTGCAGTGCCCCTTTTGAAGATGAAAAAAACAAACAAACAAACTGAACTTTATTTAAAACACTGTAATTCCTGTAAAGGAAATGTAATTAGAAAATATGCAAAAGCTCCCCACCCCCATTCTGGGAACAACACCAACATGACAGGATATAGTTTTGTGTGATGTTTTGGTTTGTTTTATGGAAATCCCACACATATGCACCATTCTTAGCACCCACGCAGGGGTGTCAGTGTCTGTTATATCGTTCAGTTAAAACTATCAGTCTGTTCATGAGGTGAATGTTTATGGGTGTGAGAAAACAAACAGAGCACACTGAACTCTCACAATTCTTCATTAAAGACCTAAAACCTCACCCCTGATGAGCTCTATCGATCCAGGAGAATAACAACTTCCCTGCAGCCAGCAGACTGGCCCATCATGATCGACCAACCCCCCCACAGAAGCCTGCAGCAGTCATTATTAACCCATGACTGGCAGCTACAATGTGGGTCAGTCGTGCTCAACTGAAACTAAGACATGCAATGGCCTTCGACAGAATTTGTTTGCGATTCAGAGAAACATTAAAACTAATGGTACAAGATTGACCATGACCTGGATGACTGAGAATCTTCATAGACATTAAAACTAATGTTGAGAGTTGAGCTGAATAAAGGTTTGAGCATGTTTTGGCATGTGTGCAGGACAGTGTTCTTTTCATTATAATTACTGTATTAAATAATATGAATCCCCCAGCATATGTTACGTTAATTTAACAAGTCTCTGTATTCATGCAGGTCCCTCCAGCAGTGATGTCTACGATCTTGTCTCTTCGTGGCAGCGGGGTTCTCCCTGTGGCTGGGGGTGAGGTGATGGGAGACGGGCTGAGGGTGAGGGTGGACCGAGCTGCAGCCTTTAAGTCCATACTGGCAGGTGGAGCCACGGAATATCTGAAGCCCTCGAGTGAAAGGCAGGGGTGTGTGTTGGTGAATTGCCCCGTGCTGCATCCTAAACCAAGCACCCCTACTCCAGACACACTGACACTTGGCCAGTTGAGAACCATTCTCGTGGCTGACCACATGGGGGCACTGTTGAGAAGACAAGGGTGCGCTGACGTCATCATATTTCTATCACCTTAAATCCACTTCGTTTGCTTCCATATTTATTAACACCTCCATTGTTTGTCATAGATTTGAAGTGTCTTTTTGCCCCACGCTTCCCGAGAAAAGCGACATCAGCACTTTTCTCCGAGGTCTAGGGATCGATTGGCCTGCCGTCCCGACCAGTGCAAACAATGATGAGCGTGAGGACAAGATACAGGCGGCACTGGAGAACTGTCCATACAGAGAGAGCGAAAAGGACAGAAGCAGGATGACCAGCGGTGGGAAGAAGACGGAGGTTGAGGATGAAGAAGGAGCGCTGAGGATCAACTTGAAAAGAGTGTTCCAGGAGGAGGGGCTGCTGGGATATGACCCCAGTCTTGGTACCTGCACAGGTAAGGCCACAGGGTGGGTGCAAAGGTTTGTAGTTTGAATGAGCTTTCCTCATTATCCTCTGACTATTAACGCAATTTATTACAATGTGGAATATTCCCTGGGAAGTCTTGAATGTGTGCTCCAACATTTATAAATATATTTATTTTTGGTGCAAATGATTTCCCCTTAATGTTACAATCTGATATCTAGTTGATGTGACTGTGACATCACATCTACTCACTTTACCTCAATTCAGTGGTTTGGTCCTTCCCCAACAATAACAAGTGGGGATTTTCAAGCCCCCAACAAAAGTCTTGACAAATTACATTTCTAACTTATTGAACCAAATACTGTTATATTTCATAATGACTCAAAATCAATAACATCAAATAATGCAAAGCTCAAAGAGAGAAAATAAAAGTGCAGTTGTGACATCATCACTTGAAACTTGGGCCCGCCCCACACTTTGAGAAGCACTGCCTTAAATGTAAGTATTTATTACTTGTCAAATCTGTACAGTTCGAAAACAGTGTGTCTTTGATGGAAAAAAGACGACGAGAGATGAGGTCCGATTGGATGATGCAGCAAAACCTGTAACCAGTGTAGGAAGTCCTTATTTTCAGATAGATTTTTTTTCATACAGAGTTATGTCTGAAACCAGTGCAACTCTTCTCCGTTTCTGCATCATCATTTCCCGAACGCTTTTAGTTTTTAAGAAGAACTTATTGTCAGGAAATGAGTTCTTGTATTAAGTGCTGCATTTTAATAGATTGGTGGCATGTCTGTTTCAGTATGCAGAGAGAGTGTTTCACATTTGGCCCAATTGGATCTAGCTACTGCCAACTACACAGTAAGACACACACACATCCACATGGCTGATATGTATATATATATATATATATCCCCAGTAATTGAGCGTGAGAGAAAGAAAACATTGATTTTTCTGCTGTTGCTGCGTTTCCTCAGACAACCATGGCAACAGTGCTACATGTGACTTCCTGTCAGGACGAGTTTCGTCAGCAGCAAATAGCCATGCTGTGGAGAGCCAGTGGAGCGACACACACACAGGTACCTACTTGGACTCTTACAAGGTCTAGTAGCACAGTGTGTTGTTATTTTTACCTGCTCGTCTCTGTGTCTCTGCAGAGACATCTGGTGTGTCGCCCTGTGAAGACCCCGGGTTCTCACATCAGCGCTGCACAGTACCTGCAGTAAGACACCTGTCCTCCTTAGTTCTATGTCTTCTCATTTCTTTACAAAATGTATTATTCAGCGTACGACAGTAGTGTTCAACATTGTTGCATCAGTTCCTCCCCACCTCCCCCACAAAATCAGCAACACAACAGTCTGTGTAAACAAGGCATCTGCTGTTTTGTTTGTGTCCTCCTCCCTTTCTCCTCCAGGCTGAGGAGAGGACAGATGAAGGAGGCTTCAGAGATGAAGTACGGAGGTCAGGTAGAAGGTGTGTGTCCACACCGTCTGCAGTGTGATCATCCACACGGTTGATGTTTGTGTGCGTCTTACATAAGATGCCTTGTCCTCTACTGTAGGTCAAATGTGGGATGACATCATCAAGGCCATGACCTCCGCCACCGTCAGGTTTGAGCTGCTGTCCACAGTCCACAGTAGTCCTGTAAGTCCTCACCTGTGTAAACTAACTGTGCTGTGTGTGTTTATTATCCTGTGTTGAGTTGTGTTTGATGAAGCAAATGTCTTATCTCAGGTGACCCTGGATGTCCAGAGGGAGGGGGGCGTGTCCACCAAAGGGCCACGAGGAGGGGTGTTTGTCATGTACAACTGTGCCAGGCTTCACACCCTGTTTGACAGCTACGAGAGAGGAGTGGAGAAGGGTGAGATCTGAGGGCGTCTTCATTTCTGTCTCATGTTGGAACAGAAACAAACGTTTGAAAAAGAAAAAAAAAAAAAAACCTACAGAATTTCATCTCATTATTTTTGTAGACTTGATTTTGAAGTCACTCTAGATTATTTGTGTGTTTATCTGACTAACTGTTCCATTTATATTTTTTTCTCTGAATGAATCAATAGAAAAGATAGATTTTCCGAATGATCAATAAGTTTCCAGCTCAGAGAGTGTGTGCATGTTCAGACTGTAGTATCTCTGCTCTTTGGAAGGTTTGCTCTGTCAAATGTTGTCTTCTCTCTTCATCTTTACCTACTGCACTACAGTTCTAATAATCTGCTGAAACATAGTTCTGTTAACAGTAAACAGAATAAATACATGAATAATTCCAAAGCTGCATTTTTAACCAGCTGTAAACAACTGTTTTAATGAGGCAGGCAATGTTCTTTCCATTCCTTTTATCTCCAGGTCTGTACCCAGAGATCCCTGACGCCTCCAAGCTCGACTTCTCTGCTCTGAAAGAGGAGGTGCCACTGCATTTTATGCAATTTTAAGTTTAAATTGTGTTTAAATGTCTACCATTCTGCTTGTTTCCTCTTCACTGAAAAACAAAACCATATTCATTTGGATAAAAGTCCCATAATACAAACACACGCCCCCTTTAACACCACTGACCGGTTCTGTTTCTCTGTGTATGTTCCGTATGTTCATTCTCATGGATCATCCTGTCATCCTGTCACTGCTGCTCCAGGGTGAGTGGCTGCTCCTCTTCAACTATCTCATACCATTCTCCGAGCTGCTGGACCAGCCAGCTCAAGCGCTCCACGGAGACGGGGGAGGGGCCAGAGTGAATATGAGGACTGAACAGGTGGGGGCAGTATTACATGAACAGAGTGATTTTTCAAAATTCTGCTGTAAAAATTTAAATTGGTCGTCCTAAACCCCTCTGTTTTTTTTTTCAGCTTTGCAAATTTCTGGTGTCCCTCACTAAGGACTTCAGCTCGTACTACAACCGAGTCCACGTGCTGGGGGTGAGAAAAGTTCTATTTTGCTTCTACTTTGAGTTTAAGATTCTTGCCCCTGCACTGATTATTTTATATTTCTTGACATTGATGAGGGTCGTACTATTTTGTCTCTTTCTTCTCTCACCCTTTTCCGTCTCTCACCTCATCACTCCTTCCCGGTCCAGGAGCCGTTGCCTCATCTCTTCAACCAGATGTTTTGTCGTCTGTATCTGTTGAGAGCTTTGAGAGAGCTTTACCACAGCGCTCTGGACTCCCTCAACCTCCCTCCTATTAGACAACTATAGCTTCAGAACACACGCACACACAAAGTCCCTCCTGTGGTCACTCTTAGTTCTCCCTCCCCTCCCCACCCACCACACACACACACTCACACTCCTGTAGCTTCAGTGTATAAACCCTTGGCAACCAGGCGTGGACACACCTTCTTAGCTTTGCTCGTCGTTCCAGTCAGTCATATTGAAGTGTGTTTAATCAGCTCGATGTTCTGTACAGTTATTTATGAACTGATCTCTTCACTCCCGGTTCAGGTCGTTCTGAAAAGGTGCGTTAGTTGTCTGTTAGAGGAGCTTTTATGACGTTGATGAAAATGTTGTTTTCACGTACACTGAAATATTGTTTATATTTAAAAATCCTCTTTTTTGCTGAATTGTCAATCATCGCAGGAGGAGACTGAAGATAATCATTCTACTGTAAAGTGTAACTTAGTGACATTCGGTGGAGGCAGAGAGACACAGCAGCTACATTTTTATACTTCAGTGTAGTGTGATGTCACTGGATGACAATTTGTAGCCAAACTCTAAGTCATGTGTTCTTACCTGATTTTTTTTTTTTGTGGTTCCTTAGATGTTCACCAGCATCCCTGAGAAATTAGTTACACAACAGTTTGAAAACTATTTCAGCATTTTAACAGGATGTTGATCATTGAACAGTTGTCTGGAAAACAAAACATTTGCTGATTTAAAAGATGTAATGACACTGACACTGATTCTGTACAAATGGACATTTATACATCGTTTTTGGGCACATTAGTTAGAAGACTATTTTATTAGCTTTGTGAAGCAAACTAAACTGAGCCCACCCTGTCAGGTACCTGAGGTCTATGGGTGTTGTTTTCCATAAGACATTAAAGGAGACCAAAGTAAGGACCAGGTCCACAAAACACAAACAGAATTAAAGTCTTTTCAGTTTGTTCAGTTTTTCGAGACAAATAATCCTGTGATCAATAATGCACCGAAGATTTCTAAAATTCTTAAAATGAATCTAAATCTTAACTTAACTGTTTCACTTTCCAAATTTGAATTGTTCTTGATTGTTGTTTCACTGCCGTCATCCTGGTCTTAGTTTCTCCAGGTCCAGAGTTGCCGTCGTCATTTCCACACAAACGTCTGTTAGTAGTTTTGAAATACTCAGATGTGTACAGGATATTTCTATATTCTGCATATTTAGTCGTAATTGCTGCAATGATGAGATAATGGACAAACAGTGGTGACTTGGAGGGTGTTTTACTAGCAGCATTTAAGACTTTGTGCCAAAATGTAAAGATGTGCATGAAGAGGCATGAAAATAAAATATATATATATATATACATATACAGTATACTGTATATGAAGAAATGTATGGAAAAAAGGGGTAGTTTGAGTGAAAGTGTTGACACGTTTAATCAATGTTTAATTGTTTTCAGAAGAGTAAAACATTTGTTTTGAACGTGTCTGTTCAAATGTGCCATCAACTGTTTTAATTTTAGCGTTTGTATTTTAGCGTTGATATTTTCACACATTTTTACACATTTGTCCCTGTTACAAGTCGAGTCACTTGTACTTTGATTGTGCAGGGTTTTTTTTTAAATTTCGTTTGTTTACATGTTCGCTAAAGAAGAGAGAGGTGGACGTTTACGTTGTTCTGAATCCTCTGTCATGTTAATTGTATCAGTATTAAAGCAGTAAACATACAGATCTGTGGTCTGTGAAGTATCTGTCTTACTCTGTTAGATTTTAAGTGAATTTTGATGCATGCAATCTTTCAATTCATCTTTGCTGTTTCACTGTAGCTGGAAGTTTTCACATGGAAATATTTCTGTTTTGAATGAGAAACAAAAAACCAACAGTTAGTTGACAGCTGAATTTCTCCAACGCAGCTTCTCAGTTCATTAAACTGATTGTAAATCATAATAAAAACAATTCTCCGCCTCGGCGTTTGCACATACTCTCACCTCTCTGTGTGTCTCCTGAGTGCATTCTCTAGTCAGAACTCTGCCAACCTCCTCCTACACACATCTGTCCACCTACAGGTTCTGTGTCTTCCTCCTCTGCAGAATGAAAATAACCCCAGACGTAGACTAGGTGAGTGTTCGCCTCGTCGTCAGACAGACACACACTGACGCTGTTGTTCCTTCTGCTCCGTTCTCTCCCCTCTGCCCCCAGGGCACATATAAACACAACAAATAGAATATCCTGCACACTGCATATATGTAGAGAATATGCTGTTGAATGTTGATTCACCATTGAACGTACAGTCCTGCTGATGTGACATGACATTAGTCTGAAGCTTTTTTTTTCTCCTCTGCTTCCTTTTCCTCTGCACTTGTCGCCCAGTGTGAACTTTATTTCACCTTCTTTCTGCAGATGATCTCTTCCCTGTGTTGAGAGTCAAAATGTAACAGTCAAATATGTTCGACTTATTTAAAAAAAAAAATTAGAATGCTGACTTCATGGTGATTCATAACAGGGTGATTTATTTAAGTAATGTGGATTTGGTTGGTGTAAATTGTCCAGATTAAATAACTCAGCTGTCCTTATATCGTACTTTCTTTTCAGGAAGTCTTGATTAAATCCATAATATTATTTGCCAAGGCAGTTATTAGACTATTATGTAAATGTGCTTTTTGTAATTTATTTATTCACTCGAGTTTCACTCGTTAGTTTCAACTGTTCCTTTGTTTCTAAAGTACATGTTAAAGGTCGAACCAAAGCTATTCTGACGCAGCATTTCCTATTTATCACAATTAAAACTAACGTTTACCTCACAAACGCCCTTTATGGTCCATAACGGCCACCGTAGTTGATGATAAGACCTCGGGGGCCAGGTAGACTTCTCCGTTTATTGCTCTCTGCCGTTAATAAAAGCTAAACTGGAATGAAAACAAATACAATTAAAAAATAGGATAAAAAGGAAAGCTGCCTACACCTGAGTTGGTGGGTGATAAAGAGGCCATTGTTTGAGTTTGTCATTTGTGGGAATCGTCTGTTCCACAGTCTGTTGAGTATTTAGCAGAAACACCACATCTGTCCCTCGGTTATTTAGCTGCAGATGCTCTTAATGGCATTTGCATCTGTCTTTGTTAAAAATTAAGTTAGAGCCTCGGAATAAAACCTGTGTATTCTCCATATTTGAAGTGTTAATAACTCACCGATGTTACACCAATGTGTTGTTGTCGTGTGTTGGCCACTTTATTATGTGAACGTAACGTCGCTCAGTCTGTAGAAAGATCACAAGCTGTAATATAAGGAACAGCTCAAACACACTTTAATGACCGGCCTGTAGAGCGATGATGTCATCTCGATGTAAGACATCGGATTCACCACATGGTGGCAATGTTCAGGCACTGAGTCGATCCAGGACAGACTCAGGTAAAAATGAGCTTAAAAAAGCTTTTAAAAAGGTGGTCTTTTTGTCACCTGTGCTTTTAGGTTATATTTCTATTTAGAGTTGAGTTTGAGTAAACAGAATAACGTCTTCATATAATGAATGGCCTTTGCAAGGATATTTAATGAGCTGTCTGTTTTAGTTAACATTAAATCTCTACATCTCTTTTAATTTTTATTGTTTGACAGCTTCACTGCAGGTTTAGGGTCAGGTGTTTGTTAGAGATTTCCTAAAAATAGATATACATTGTGCACTTTATTTACTTCAAATGAGTGTTTCTTATAGTTATATTCAGCCCAATTATAACAGTTGACTAATCAACACCCTAAATTGCTAAAACAATCATAAACATCATAAACTGAAATAAAAAGGCTGTGATTCCATCTGTTACATCCTCAAACTGTGACAAATGATGACAAACGTTTCACTCCATGATCTCATAACCTGAACTAACATTAATAACAAAAGCAAAAGTTGAACAAAAACACTAGCCATTTTTTCAACAACCCCATACTATTGCCCACAATCTGTCCTGTGTCCTGTCCCCCATATTCACTTCATAAGTCAAACAACTTGAAATTCACTCTTCCTTTGTCTTATTTCAACAAAATGAATATTTGATTAATTGTTTAGTTCCTTTAAGCCTAAACTGTAATCACAGAGTCTTCCAAAATAAAAGTCTTTGTAGAGAGCGAAAAGAAAAAAAAAGTCCAAAAACAAAGAAAGTGTCAGCATTAAAACATGTGATCTCCTATCAAACTCCATCTGTTCTTATCCTTCATCACTTTTGTTCTTTACTGTCATCTTATCTTTGTACGGTGCTGCTAAAGCTGTAAACACTTTCAAGTTCAAAGACTCCACTTCATACATGTTTGATGTGAACACTCAGCACAGGACAAAGTACAAGACAAGTCTTTTCCCCTCTTCCCAGTGCAGTCAGCCCAGGTCCAGGAGGCTTTATCCCTTTCATCCCTCTTGCCTCCAATCAGAAACTCCCCTCTACATGGCCCCTGCCTGCTTGTCAATCACACCCCTTGGGCGATGGGATGGACGGAGACAAAAGCAGCATGGCAGAGACGGAGGCATGATAAAGCAGCAGGAGTGGGAGTGGACGTCAAAGTGGTTGGAAAACACAGAGATGTGGTGTTAGAGAGCTCTGAGCATGTAGAATATTGGTGCAGAGTGGATGGGCTGTCTTAGGGAGATGAATGAATGGGGTCAGGGACGCCCCTGAGAATAAAAAGAGAGCGAGAAGAAGGGGAGATTTGACAGAGCGAATGAAAGGAGGAGGACAGAAGGTACAACACCCAGTGAATGGATGAGGCGGAAAAGGACTGAAGGCAGAGGCAGGCCTGGATTTACAGTCGCTAACAAAGGAGAATACAGTGAAATCATGGAGATGAGGAGGAAAAACAGTGTACATGGTTTAGAGAAAGAGTCGGTGGGAGAGAGAATGATGAAAAAGAACAGTGACACAGGGTGAGGTGAGGTGAGGTGAGGTGATGGGGAAACAGAAAAAGGCAGGGATTGAAAAGTATAGACAATAACAGAGGAACATCCTATAATCAGGAAGAGGAAGAGAAGGAGAAGCTTCACTCAGCGACTCCATGGTCCAAGATCGTCAGTTCTAGAGGAAGGTCTAGTTCCTCTACATTAGTCATGAGGAAATACGACTCCTGTCTCTGTAGTTTTATCCACAAATTCTGGCTTCTGAATTCCAGTGAGACCTCTGTTTTTATGAAGCTCTTTTTTTTTTTGACATTTTCAAATTTTCTGTACAGACTTTAAAAGAACATTAGGTGTTGATAAAGTCCAGTTTAATTGTCATAAACAGAATAATTGACCAAAAATACACACATTTCTTTTCAAGGAATTAAAGTAAAAAAAGAATCCCTACAATAGCAAAAAACAGAAATGTATGTAAAAATATGTTTTTATGAAGCTCAAAAACAAACAAACAAACAAACAAAAAAAAAACAAACAAACAAAATCCACCATGGTCAGTCATGTGGGTTCTTCTGTATTCCTACAATTTGTTACCACTTTTAGGTGAGACTTAAATTCAAGTGCAAGTGGTGGTGATCACCATTTGTTTCATAAGAATTACTAAGATCTGTACAAGTAAGTAAATCTAAAGTGGAACATATTTCCCACAGTGCCCTGCACCTACAAACTCACAGTAGACGGGGAGTAAATTAGCCCACAGTTCGCTGCAGCCAAGAAGCTGCTGGTCGCTGAAATACTGTTTGTGTTTCAACAAATGAAAAATGAAACAAAATCAATCCAACATTCACGTGTCGTCACATTAACCCAGAGAAGTCGACGCTCAGACATGTGGCCAGCGTGCTGTCGATCAATACACACACGCAGCTCCGTCTCATCAGGCAGTATTTGTATTTAGTTGATTTGTCTTATTTGATTTAAAAGGTCGTCGTGAGTGAAAGTCTGTAAAAAAACCAGAACGATGAGAATCAACTGGAGTTCACATGCATTTGACGTCTGATTCCCTCTCAGCTGTAGGAGATTTTCTTTTACTGATTTCTGAAAAGAAAATGTGGAAGAATATGACAAAATATGATATTCAGTACACTGTTTCTCAAATGCTGGGTTGTGACCCAACTGTGAATCAAGAAGCTATTTTTTATCAGGACACAAATATGGACCCAAAACAATTTTACCCTTAAATATAGACTTTTGATGATGTTTGATATGCTTACTGTTTAGATTTATCTATAAATACATGTTATTACCTTTTTTACCTTTATTACCTTAGTTTACCAAAGGGAAATCCAGAGGGATTAATAGAGTTCTATTCCTCCATCCATCCATCCATCCATCCATCCATCCATCCATCCATCCATCCATCCATCCATCTATATTAACTATTATATTAATTTATTGTGAATCTATTTACTGTAATATTTAGAACAAAAGCCAAAATCTTTAGC